ATTTATTTATTTATTTTTTTGAGACAGAGTCTTACTCTGTTGCCCCAGGTAGAGTGCAGCGGCATCATCACAGCTCACCGCAATCTCAAACTCCTGGGCAAAAGTGAACTTCCTGCCTCAGCCTTCCAAGTAGCTGGGACTACAGGTCACACCACTATGCCTGGCTAATTTTTTGTATTTTTAGTAGAGACAGGGTCTTGCTCATGGCTCAGGCTGGTCTCCAACTCCTGACCTCAAGGGATCCTCCTGTCTCAGTTTCCCAGAGTGCTAGGATTACAGGCCATGAGCCACCACGCCTGGCCTTGCATGCCTTAATCAGGCAAGCTCTTTGTTCTAGGAGTCTAGTGATCTAGAGCTAAGATGCAGCCCCTCACGTGGAAACTGTGAAAGTTGGGGTGCTTGATGTGTGGATAGACTCCCAGAAGAGCAGTTTTGAGGTATAGATCATGAAGATGGGTTGTTGCTAGTCCCAAAATAAATGCAGATGAATGATAGCAGAAGCTATTTTCAGAAAGTGGATGTTAATTTTTCCCATACTGTGAATATCCGTTCTGCTTTGAGATTGAATCATGGGTTAAGTTATTATATAAATGGATTATAAATTACTGGGACTAACCTGTGAAACCCTTCAGGGGTAAGATAAATCCCTCTTAAGCCTAAATTGTTTTATGGTAGTTGAAGTATAAGGAGTTCTAGTGTATTTTTGCTTCAAGGCATGTAGTGAATCGGTAGTACCTTTCTAGCCCTGTTATTTAGGAGCTTGCTTTTCTCATGTATGCTGATGTGATTTTCGCCTGCCCTCCAGATAAATAGGGGCCACATGACAACAGAAGCCAAGAGAGCTGCAAAGATGGAAAAGAAGATGAAAATTTTGCTTGGGGGTTACCAGTCTCGTGCAATGGGGCTCATGAAACAGTTGAATGACTTATGGGACCAAATCGAGCAGGCTCACTTGGAGTTACGTACTTTTGAAGAACTCAAGAAACATGAAGATTCTGCTATTCCCCGGAGGCTAGAGGTAATGTTATATATTGCCTTGAAGTGTTGCTTAGAAAGAGAGCTGCAGAGAATTATCAGAGCTTTCCTTTTTTTTTTCTTTTCCTGTGCAAGCTATTCTGAAGTTGATACAGTCAGACTTTTTCAATGAGAGCCTAAAGTTTTTGACTTTCTAATCTAGAATTATCTGTGTGGCGATGGATAGACCAGGCAAGTGGTGGATACAAAGATCTTCCCTTCACTCATTTTGTGTTTTGTAGAGGGATATATTGTGAGATGGAATAAATAACCCTTGTCATTTTTCTCTCTGAAACTTAATTGCATCTCATTCATGCAGCTTTATGAGGGGGAAGTAAACCAGTGTCTTTTTGTTTTGTAACTTAAGATGTGGGGAGCATAGCTAGTCATCCCAAAGCATCGAATTCCTTTGGCCAGGTTTGGGTTAGATTTATCTACCAAATGTGCACGAGAGCCCCTCTGTGCTAACGGGCAGTCAGGACTTATTTACAAGCATTTGTAGGTATTGATAGGACAAGAATAGCTTGTTTATTTGAGGTAGCCACAGAGATTGTAATCAAGGTGGGTAATCACATGACCAAATCGAAAAATGGCTGTAGTATTGGTTTTTATGGCAAAAGTATTTGCTGTATTTGTTTCTCTTTGGGGAATATTTACCTCTCAGGAATCATGAATTAACTCAGCTGTTTCTAAGATGGTAAAATACCATAGATACTTTTTTCAGTGTACTTAACATATGAAATAATTATTTTAATATTTTTGTCTCTTCAAAGTGTCTAAAAGAAGATGTTCAGCGACAACAGGAAAGAGAAAAGGAACTTCAACATAGATATGCTGATTTGCTGCTGGAGAAGGAGAATTTAAAGTCAAAATTCTGAAGCATAGTTTGTTTATATTCTGTCACAGGGTGAATTATTGCTGGTTTTCATACTATGGAAGGCTTGAAACTATGTTTCTCTTCATTGACAAATTTACCCACCATCTGTGGTTTTTTGGTTTATTTTAAAAGATGTCAGTCTTACATATGCTATGTATAAAGACTTTAACTCCACAGGACGGACATTTTAGGGTTTAAATTATTGAGACGATCATTCTTTTAGCAGTGTCATATTTGCAAAATTTTTTTGTTTTGGCCTTTAATTTAAAAAGCCTAATTTCAAAGTGCTGCCTGTGAGTAAACTCTTAAA